GCGTGGGGTTGGTGGACACCCAGCATGTGAGTGCGTGTGAATGGTGGCCGCCCCGTGTGTGAGTGCGTGTGAATGGTGGCCGCCCCACATGTGAGTGCGTGGGAATGGTGGACACCCAGCATGTTAGTGTGTGTGAATGGTGGTCGCCCCGTGTGTGAGTGCATGGGAATGGTGGACACCCAGCATGGGAAGGCATGGGAATGATGAAGGGTGGCTGCCCCGCGTGTGAAGAGTGAAGAGCGGATGTACCGATTCTGTACAGAGATAGCTGCTTACATCCTCCGCCTCTTCTTTGGGTTCGCGGCGGGCGATGATGGCCTCAGACTTCACTCTGCGGGAAGGGCAAGGAGGCAGGGAGGGTGAGGGCCTCCCAGGGGCCTCGGGAAGAAACAGCGGGCAGTGCCCGCCCCAGACTTGTGTCCTTGCCTCTGTGCAGGGCTGGGGGCTCTCCCCGCAGCAGCCCTCTGGTTCAGGGCCCAGAGCTCTGCTGCCGGTTCTCTGGGGACAGGTGGTCCTGCACCACCGCTGTACAAGTGTCCTGAAGCCCAGCCTTCCATCCTGGCTGCCTGGGAATGCGGAGCGGGGCAAATCACAGGGGCCCTGGCTTCAGCAAACCCAGAGCAGATCCAGGTCCCCTCTCAGGCAGAGGCACAGTCTCGGGACTCCACACCTCCTCTGCTTATCAGAGAAAGGCTGGAGCCCCAGCACACAGCTCTCCAGGGTCCACAGCCAAACCTTGGCTGATCAAAGGGCTGGAGGAATGGGATCGTGGGAGCTGCAGCTGAGCCCTGAGCCCCACACGCCACGCAGGTAAGGACGCGTAAGACAGGCCCAGCGTGCGCTGTGGGAGGCTCAGGAGACCACGGTCCCTCTTGGGCTGGTCAGGGTGAAATGGCTGTGAGCTGGAGCTGGGGGTGCACAAAGCCACTCTGGCTGGAGAGCAGGCACTGGAGAAGGCAGCCGCTCCGGAGCCCTGACGCCGGGTGCCTCTGTGACAGGCTCTCCAAGCCCCCGCCCTCACCTTTTCAGTTCCTCTTCCAGCTCCTTGATGCGGTTTTCCAGCTTGACTTTGGCCTGCTTGGCAGCCTCCAGCTCACCCCTCAGCACTTCCTGCTCCCCGGACAGCTGGTCAACCTTGGCAATGAGGTCATTCTTCACCACGTTCAAGGCGTTTCTTTGAAAAAGCAGAAAGATGGGAGTGCAGTCTCCCAGTCCTGGCGAGGAGGGCTGCCTCAGCCTCGCCACACGGGAGAAGGGCCCTCTTACTTGGTTTCCAGAAGCTGTGAGTTTTCCAGCAGCAGATTTCCCACTTCTTTGCCCATTCCTGAAACAGAAGGTGCAGAGGTTTCACCTGTGCCCTTGGAGGCAGGACCCTGGTGCTACCGCACCTGCCTCAGGGTAACCACACTTCTGGAGAGGGTGGCCTGGTGGGGGGTGACGCCCGATCTGCAGGGAACACAGAGCAGGCTCCCAGGCCTTGGGGTGGTTCTCATGACTGATCAATGTCACAGGCCAGCTGGCCAGATGCAGGCCTCTGAGTGGCCTACTGTGCTGTCACCTCAGTGCCCCCAGTAGTCCCATCATAAGGCAGGCCCTCTCAGAGCCGCCACCCTCAGGTGAATGATGTTGGGGCTGGGGTGAGGGGCAGGTGGGTGAGGAGAGGCCTCTCACAGTGGGGCCAGAAGGCATGGGGCATGGCAGGGCGGCTGTGAGGACCGTGGCTCCCTGGTGCCTTCCCATAGTGGGACTGATGGCTCCTCTACCATCAGGCCCCAAGTGAACCTGGACTGAGCTCCTGCAAGCATGCCCAGAAACCCCAAAAGAATGGAAAGAAACTCCAAGGTCCGGCCTTCCCACACACTGCCCCACATCTACGCAGTCAGGAAACAGCATCACACGCCTCCGTGCCTGGGCTCAGGGGTCCTGCCTGAGGCCTCCATTGTTACCTCCCTTGCCTCAAACATGGGCCTTCCTCCCCACAGACAGGGTGTGCCCTGTGCTTGTGGGGACTCAGAGAGGTTGGGGCTACCTTCCTCAGGCCTTCAAGTCTGTCCCTTGGGAGAAGTCGCCACCTCCCACAACCCAGAGGCAGCCAGGACAGAGCTAGCCTCACCCAGGGCTGCCCCCTGACCCCGGCGGCCCCAATGCTGTCCCCATCATGCAGAACAAAGCAAACAGCTCATGAAGCAGTAGACGATGTAGGGGTGGAGGGGTGACGCGCGGGAACGGGGCCTCAGCCTTACCAAAGAAATCATCGCGCACTAGGGAGCCGTCCCCGTCCCACAGGAGATGGGCAACCAGGGCGGGAGGAGAGGGAGAGAGGGAGAAGAGAAACGCGTTAAGCCCGTGTGGACAGCAGGCTGGGGGGAATTCAGGGCTGGGTCGGCTGGGTCTGCTGGGTTAGGGTGGGCGCAGGAGGGAGTTGGGAGGGTAGGAGATGGGACAGAGCCAGCTACTTCTGGAAAGTTTATCCTTGGAATTACATGAAGACTACCAGGTCAATGTCACTTGTGGGGCTGGTAGCTAACATCTTACCCCAAATGCTGGGCCAGATGGGGCTGGGGACAAAAGGCACCCCTGTGGAGACAGGCTACGCCTGAAGGCTGGGGGGCTGCACCTGGACAGTCTCTGGGTGGGGCCTCAGAGCCTCCTGCTGTGCAGCCAGAAAGCAGAACTCGGCCTGTCCACCCAGGTGAGGAGGGGGTCCCGGGCTGAGCTTGGCAGGGGCCTCTAGGACCTGGCTTCTGGGGTGCGCCTGACAGCAGGGGAGGACCCAGAGCTGGCCTTGGCTGTGTCTAGTCACTGCCGTGCGTGTCTTAAGGCTCTGCAGGGCCTTCAGAAATGGCCGTCGGGGGACTTTTCAGGCTGTGTCACTGTGAAGTGGCTGGTGGAGCAAACTGAAACAAGCTTCCGAGCTGCGGTGGCGGCGAGCAGAAGCACAGGCGCTATGGCGGCGTGGGGGGCGGGCCACACAGCCGTGGTGTTGGGAAAGCTCAGGGCATCCCAGTCCACCCCCAGCCACAGAGGGGAGACAGAAAGGAGAGAGATACACACCTGAGAACTCCCCTGGGCGTGTCCAGCGTGGCACAGAAAGGCAGGGGGGAAGGAAGTGATAAAGGTCAATTGGTGACTGGAACTGACAAAATAAAGAAACTCTTATTAAAGAAAAAGCATCAATGATTCGGCCACTCCCATGTTGCAGGACAAGAGAGAACAGGAGCAGCCTCCAGCAGGTCTGGATGCCTATAACCCCAGGCAGAAACCTGCAGGGAACGGGGCCAGGTGCCGTGGTCCAGCCCAGAGCTGAGCCTTGACCCTGCTCCCCTCTGCTCCCGCCACCCATCAGGAGGGCAGGTCCCCTGCAACCCCCATGAAGACGGCCTGTGAAGAGGAGTGTGTGGGGCAGGGTGTGGCAGGTGCTCAGCCTCCAAAAGCCCCCAGCGTGGGTGAGACAGACACTGCAGGTGCAGGCCTAGGGCTGGACTCTGAGGCTCCTGGGTCAGCCCAGGTAGGGCAGGACCTCAGAGAAGGGCTACTGAAGACAAACTGGGAGCAAGGACCTCACAGTGGAAGGTGGAGAAAACTAAGCCAGAATGCAGAGGAGGGGTGGGGAGGGTGGTGGGGGCAGCATCCTCACTGGGTCCCGGTTCCCCCTGCACGGAGGCAGAGGGAAACACTCGGCGGGAAAACACCACCTCCTCCTCCGCAGGTGAGGATGTGGCTCCGATCTACTTGGTTGCTTTCACACAGAAAAGGAAATGTATTAAAGAGTCACTTGATTTAGATGACAAAAGGGTTGTTTGTTACAGGAATTCCAGTACTAAAGCACCTCAATCAAGAGCAGATGTCCCTCTTTCAAATGGCTTCCCAGGGCAACCGCTGCTAATGGCCAATATTCTCCCCTCAGATTTCCTTCTAGATAAACAACGGGTTTCAAAAAACAAACAGGGGACCACATCATCCATCTCTCTGGGAGACTTCCTGTGTTCCTGTGTCATGGGACTCTCCTGTGCTGAGGTTCCTGGTTGCCTTTATTTATTTTTTGAGCCAGGATCTCACTCTGTTGCCCAGCCTGGAGTGCAGTGGCACCATCACAGCTCACTGCAACCTCGACTTCCCAGGCTGAAGATTCTCCCACCTCAGCCTCCCAAGTAGCTGGGAGTACAGGTGCACGCCACCACGCCCGGCTAATTGTTGTATTTTTTTTTAGTAGAGATGAGGTCTCACCATGTTGCCCAGGCTGGTCTGGAACTCGTGAGCTCAAATTGCTCACTGCAATCTCCGCCTCCCAGGCTTAAGCAATCCTCTCCCTCAGCCTCCAGAGTAGCTGCAGCCACAGGTGCACACCACCAAGCCCAACTAAGCATTTGGTAGAGATGGGGTTTTGCCATGTTGCCCAGGCTGGTCTTGAACTCTGGAGCTCAAATGATCCACCTGCCTTAGCAGGCATGAGCCACTGCACCCGGCCTGGTTGCTTTTAATGCCCTGTAGTGTTTCTCTATGGGAACATCTCATCATCTGTCACTGCACCTGCTCTCGCGAGACTCGATGTCCCTGCGTGAGGGCTTGAGGTACCTCTCAGCCTGTGACTGCTCGGCTGCTCCCTCGAAGGCTCCACCACCGCTACCACCTACAGGTGCTCAGTGGGGCTGCACCCCTCACCTCTGGCATGGAGGGCAGCACCCGCTCCACCCTAGACAGCCTCGATTGTCTATTTTCAGTCTTGTAGGGAAAATGTTTTCTTGATTTTCTATTTATTATTTCTAAAATTGAGCATCTTTTCATATGTTTATTGGTATAGTCTGTAAATTTCCCTTTTTTTTTTTTTTTTTTTGAGATGGAGTCTTGCTCTGTCATGAGGCTGGAGTGCAGTGGCTCGATCTTGGCTCACTGCAATCTCTGTCTTCCAGATTCAAGCAATTCTCCTGTCTCATCCTCCCGAGTAACTGGGATTACAGGCACCTACCATACCCAGCTAATTTTTGTTTTTTAGTACAGACGGGGTTTCACCATGTTGGCCAGGATGGTCTCGATCTCTTGGCCTCGTGATCTGCCCACCTTGGTCTCCCAAAGTGCTGAGATTACAGGCGTGAGCCACTGCGCCCGGCCACATTTCCTGTTTTATCTTCTGACGATTCCTATTGTACTTGGTTTCTTTCTTTCGTTCTTTCTTTAGTTGTGAAGGACTTGCTCTGTCACCCAGGCTGGCGTGCAGTGGTGCGATCTTGGCTCCCTGCAGCATCAGCCTCCAGGGCTCAGGCACTCCTCCTGGCTCAGGCTCCTGAGTGGCTGGCATGATTCTCAGGCTACACACTAAACTCAACTTGAGCTAAAATTCACTTCAGCTATGTCTGTAGCTGCTACATGTATGCACCACAACGTCCAGCTAATTTTTGTATTTTTTTGTAGAGACAGGGTTTCCTTTGTTGTCAGGCTGGTCTTGAACTCCTGGGCTCAAGCAATCCTCCCGCCTTGGCTTCCCAAAGTGCTGGAATTACAGGTGTGAATCACTGTGCCAGCCTTTATTTTAATTTTAATGATTTCTCCATCATTAGCCACAGCTCTCATTATTTTCCTTTATGGCTTTGGTCACATAGACAGGCCCAGAATATGAAAATATTCTCCAATATCCTTTGCCAGTTTTTCATTTTTATTTTTGGAAACAGAGTTTCACTCTTGTCACCCAGGCTGGAGTGCAATGGTTCAATCTTGGATTACTGCAATCTCCGCTTCCCAGGTTCAAGCAGTTCTCCTGCCTCAGCCTCCCAAGTAACTTGGATTAAAGGTGCCTGCCATCACCACACCCAGCTAATTTTTTTTTTTTTTTTTTTAAATTTTTAGTAGAGATGGGGTTTCACCATGTTGGCCAGGCTGGTCTCAAACTCCTGACCTCAGGTGATCCACTCACCTTGGCCTCCTAAAAAACTGGGATTACAGGCGTGAGCCACTGGGCCCAGTCCAGTTTTTTTCTTTTCTTTTTTTTTTTTTTGTTGAGACAGAGTCTTCTCTGTCACCCAGGCTGGAGTGCAGTGGCATGATGTCCGCTCACTGTAATCTCCACCTCCTGGGCTCAAGTGATTTTCCTGCCTCAGCCACCCCAGCAGCTGAGATTACAGGCACATACCACCACACCCAGGTAGTTTTTTGTATTATTAGTGGAGATGGGGTTTCACCATGTTGGTCTGTCTGGTCTCAAACTTCTGACCTCAAGTGATCCACCCACCATAGCCTCCCAAAGTGCTGGCATTATGGGATGAGCCACTGCGCCCAGCACCTTTTCTAGTTCTATCCCTTGTTGACACTCTTGTTTTCGGGAGACAGAGTCTTGCTCTATCCCCCAAGCTGGAGCACAGAGGTGCAATCATGACTCACTATATCCTCGAACTCCTAGGCTCAAGTGATCCTCCCGCCTCAGACTCCCAAGTTGCTGGGATCACAGATGCCACCATGGCCGGCTCTGTTCTGTTGTTCTTGTAATTGTGTGCTTTGGTCCTTAATCCACCTGGAAATCACTGCTGTTTACGGGGTGAGGTTAGGCTTAGACTTCATTTCACACCAGCAGCAACTAAGGCAGTACAATTATTGACTAATTCACCTGCTTCCCATGGTTTGAGATGCCACACTTTTCAGAGACGGATTCCCCATGGCTCCAGGTCTGTCCTTGGCTCTCCGCCCTGAGCTTGTGAGCTCACATCACGGGTTTGTCGCTGCCTGCCTCAGCTGCTGCAGCTTTCTGTGGAATCCTGCAAGCTTGTTCTCTCATTTTCTAGGCTATTCTCACATGTTTCCTCTACTGGATGAACTTCAGTTCCATTCATAGAGTTCCAGAAAAATCTCCAACAAGTGTGTGGGTATTTTTACTGGTAATGAACGGATCCCCGTGAGACCAGTGGGCTGTCTATGACGTCACCAGGCAGCTCACAGGGTGTGTCTTCAGGTCCAGGCACGTGGCATCACCCTCTGGGTGTATGGTTTCTGTCACGTCCTTCAAGGATGCTTCCGTATCTTACACAGGCCTGTCTCTTCTCAAGGTTACCTGTGGACATTTTCTAGGTCTGGCTACTATGTCAGTGGAATCTCTCCTGAGGGCTGCCTTGCCCGTGCAGAGCAGAGTGGAGGGAAAGATCAGCTGTGTGGACTCCAGATTCCAGCTCAACAATGCAGGGCACAGAGTGTACCTTCTCTGAGTGTCAGTCATTTGTAAAACAGAAAAATAAGCTCCTCAGTGAATACTTGCTGTGAAATTCCCACCAGGTAATGCGGTAACAGCTGGTACAGATCCCAGCCAGCCACGTGCTTAGTGAGTATTAATTCCCTTACTGCTTATTATGCCAATTCGAAGATGTCCTTTTTTTTTCTCATGTTAATATTTCTGAAATTTCAGTGGGTCTTAAACAATCACTGTCACATTATAGTTTAATTTGCTGCAGTTTTTTCTTTCTTAAAGATTCCTAAAATAATGGTGTGTCGGCTGGGTGTGGTGGCTCACAGTTGTAATCCCAGTGCAGTTTGGGAGACCAAAGTGTGAGGATCATTTGAGCCTGGGAGTTTGAGACCAGCCCTGGCAACACAGCAACACCCCACTTCTATAGAAAAAAAAAAAAAACGTGTCTTAAAATTGGTGTTGTCTGAGATTTGATGGAATGTAACAGATGCCCAACCTGGGCTCTTTTTATGCCTCCATTGCCAAAGGAATTCAGAGAAAAAATGCTGAGAGGCACCAGGCTGCCAGCGCAGGCACTGGATGGAGGGACACTGCTCTCCACCTGCTGACTTTCGGCAGAAGCACCCTCCTGTCACATGTGAAGCTGACGTGTTTCTGAAATGATGCTCTTTCCAGATCCATGCAGTTCCGGCTCTCCCCTCCTTGGCAGCCACACAAGGGTGTACTCCTTTCCCTGCTGTCTTCAGGAGCTTGTGCCCGCCCTGTAGCTGAGCTGGACATGGACGAGCCCTCAGCTCATTCCTCTATCCTGGGTGCCGGAGAGCAGGCTCCTCTGTTTCAAAAACTTTCTATCAACAGATTGCAGCAACAGGACGAGGTCCCCACTTCTCAGGACCACCTTTTTCTTTTCCTTTCTCTTTTTTTTTTTAAGAGACAGGGTCTCACTCTGTCACCAAGGCTGGGGTGCAGAGGTGTGCTCATAGCTCACTGCAGCCTCAAACTCCCAGGCTGAAGTGATCGTCCCACCTCGGCCTCCCAAGCAGCTGGCCTCGGCCTCCCAAGCAGCTGGGACTTACAGGCGCACACCACCATGCTTGCCTTTTTTTTTTTGAGATGGGAGTCTCACTCTATCACCAAGCTGGAGTGCAGTGGTAGCATCTCAGCTCACTGCAACCTCTGACTCCTGGGTTCAAGCGATTCTCCTGCCTCAGCCTCCTGAATAGCTGGGACTACAGGTGCATGCCACCACACCTGGCTAATTTTTGTATTTTTACTAGAGACAGGGTTTTACCATGTTGGCCAGGATGGTCTCAATCTCCTGTTGTCGTGATCTGCCCGCATCAGCCTCCCAAAGTGCTGGGATTACAGGCATGACCCACTGCACCAGGCCGCCTGCCTAATTTTTTATAAAATGTTTTGTAGAAGTGCTAGAATTACAGGCGTGAGCCACTACACCCGGCCGCCTGCCTAATTTCTTATAAAATGTTTTGTAGAAGTGCTGGGATTACAGGTGTGAGCCACTGCACCCGGCCACCTGCCTAATTTTTTATAAAATGTTTTGTAGAGATAGGGTCTTGCTATGTTGGCCAGGCTGGTCTCAAACTCCTAGCCTCAAGTGATCCTCCTGCCTTGGCCTCCCAAAGCTCTGGGATTACAGGCATGAGTGACTGTGCCCGGCCTCCCTGCCTGACTTTCTTAGACGCATTATGTTTAAGGCTCTGGAAAGGGACCAAAAGGTCTGTTACTCCCAAGAGCGGACTCTTGTGCCAGCCTGAGCTCGGCAGTGCCCAGATGACCAGCACCCTTCTGAGCAGGGTGGCAGAGCCTAGAGCACACAGTGGCGTGCACAGTGACTCACGGCCTCCGTCATGATATAAGAAAACAGTTGTGCCAGAGTGGCATGGGAATGCAGGCTCCTGGCCAGTGTCCTCTAGGTGGGCGCAGCAGGGGGTGGCTATGCAGCAGGGGCATGCAGAGGTAGGGGTGAAAACATTCACCACCCAAAAGGTGCAAACTGTATGACTGTAAACAGTGGGCATGCTAAGACCCGTGGGACCATACCCCGTAAGTGGATGAATTGCACAGTGTGAAAATCACATGTCAGTAAAGCCACTGCACAGCACAGACCGTGCTCAGAGCCGGGCTGCTGCTCTGGGTCGGATCTGCGTTTGAGCCCGAGCTCTGACTGTCCTCTCACCCTCCCTGACCTGTCTCTCTTTTTTTTTTTTGAGACAGGGTCTCTCTCTGTCACCCAGGCTGGAGTCCAGTAGCGCAATCTAGGCTCACTGCAATATCTGCTTCCTGGGTTCAAATGATTCTTCAGCCTTAGCCTCATGAGGAGCTGGGATTACAGGTTCGTGCCACCACGCCTGGCTAACTTTTTCTGTATTTTTAGTAGAGACAGGGTTTCACCAAGCTGGCCAGGCTGGTCTCAAACTTCTGACCTCATGTGATCCACCCACCTCAGCCTCTCAAAGTGCTGGGATTATAGGCGAGAGCCACCACACCTGGCCTCAGTTTCTTCACCTATAAACAGGGGACACTGGCAGGAGGACGGCCTGAGGCTGCAGTGAGGACCGGTGGTGGCCGTGTCAGTGCTGGCACCCACGGAAATATGAATGGCACCCACAATGAGAAGGGCAGCTGCAACCCGACACTCTGTGTCCCGTGTACACACGTGTCCACATCTGGGGGTCGTGGTGCCTGGTAGGGTGTCACCAAGACATTAAAACAATCATCATGGCATGGGGGCGACGTTCCCTCTGGTTTTTACTCTCTTCCTGGAATTTTCTGATATTATTTAAATATTATTATAGGCATATATAATTTTTTCCAAAAATAAAAAAAATGTTGAAAAATATACATTATCTGAATGATGTAGAGTGGAAGGACATCAAAATATTAAAAGAGATTGCCCCAATTTGGCAGAATGTTTCTGAGTATTAATTGCCTTTGGATTTTTTATTTTTATTTTTATTTATTTATTTATTTTTTTGAGATGGAGTTTCGCTCTCGTTACCCAGGCTGGAGTGCAATGGCGCGATCTCGGCTCAGCGCAACCTCCGCCTCCTGGGTTCAGGCAATTCTCCTGCCTCAGCCTCCTGAGTAGCTGGGATTACAGGCACGCACCACCATGCCCAGCTAATGTTTTGTATTTTTAGTAGACATGGGGTTTCACCATGTTGACCAGGATGGTCTCAATCTCTTGACCTTGTGATCCACCCACCTCGGCCTCCCAAAGTGCTGGGATTACAGGCTTGAGCCACCGCACCCGGCCTTGGATTTTTTATATATATTTTTGCAACACATGAGAAAAGTTTCACTGAAAATTCACAGCACCAAAGCAGGCCCCCTTGCCTTCTTCATGATCGTAGGGGAGAACATTCCATCTTTCACCATTGACTAGAGTGTGCCCAACACTACTAAGCTGAACGCTTCAACATGGTTAAGACAGAAAATATGATGTTATTTATACGTGGCCTCTATTGGGACACTTTCTGACTCAAGCCAGGCTGAGACAGGCCTCCCTGTCAGACCTGAGGCACCCTACATCACTCTGCACCCTGTAGGTCCCCCTACCCCAGATACGACAATCAGCCAGGAGTACACCAGGAAGCAGCCTGGGATCCCGGAGCTTCTCGCCCTGTGGGCTGTGGGGAGCAAGGCCATGGCGAACGGCTCGGACCCTGATGCATACAAGGGGACAGACTAGACTGTCCTACTGCCTGCCTGCCATACCTGAAGGCACTGGCCTGGGGATCTGAGCCACATGGCCAGCACTCAGCTACCAGGAGATGCTGTGAGCACAGGGACTCCATGTGCTGACAGGAAGCAGGCCCCGCTGTTCGCAGCTGCTGCAGACAGCGGCAGGGGGTCTGGTGTGGACCTGCGGCACAGAGGCAAAGCCAGGGCTGTCTGGGCAGGAGTGGGCAGGTGGGCACCCTCCCAGCCTCCTCCAAAGTTGATGGCCCTAGAGCATGTGGAGAGGCTAATGCACACTGAGCAGGCACATGGGCACCCTCCCAACCTCCTCGAAAGTCAACAGCCCCGACGGTGTGTGCATGAAATGTGGCGAGGCTACCAGGCACGGGTTTCTTTTTGGGACGGCGGAACATTCTAAACTAAGATACTGTGGGCGGCGGCACCACCTGTGAGTATGCTGAAACCACAAAGCCATGCACTTTCGGAGGTGAATTTGATGGTACAGTCAACCCTCCATACCCATGAGTTCTGCATCTGTGGATTCAACCAACCTTGGATGGGAAATGTAGCCAGCTAGGCCTGTGGTGGCCGCGTCCATACCGACGTGTATATTTTTTCCTGTCATTATTCCCCAAACAACACAGTAAAACAGCACCTACTTCCGCAGCACCTACAGCTTAACCCAGACGAGATGTGGAGGACACGGGAGGGTGTGCAGGGTGCACACAGGTTCTTCGAAAACACTACACCACTTTAGAGGTGGGACGTGAGAAGCCTCAGAGTTGGGTATCCTTGGGGCAGTCCAGAAACCAGTCCCCCGTGGAGATGAAGGGGTGATTACATATGAAATAAACTCAATAGGCCGGGTCCGGTGGCTTAAGCCTGTAATCTCAGCACTTTGGGAGCTTGAGGCAGGCAGATCGTCTGAGGTCAGGGGTTCGAGACCAGCCTGGCCAACATGGTAAAACCCTGTCTCTACCAAAAATACAGAAACTAGCAGGGCATGGTGGCCCATGCCTGTAATCCCAGCTGCTTAGGAAGCTAAGGCAGGAGAATCGCTTGAACCCGGGAGGCAGAGGTTGCAGTGAGCCGAGATCCCACCACTGCACTCCAGCCTGGCAACAGAGCGAGTCTCTGTCTCAAAATAGAAAAATAAGTATATAAAGCTGGAAAAATAAAGGTTCCTAGCTCACGGCTGACAGAGGACTTGCTTTTTTTTTTTTTTTTTGAGACAGAGTCTCGCTCTGTCGCCAGGCACCAGGCTGGAGTGCAGTGGCACAATCGCAGCTGACTGCAACCTCTGCCTCTTGGGTTCAAGCAATTCTCTTGCCTCAGCCTCCCAAGTAGCTGGGACTACAGGCATTTGCCACCACGCCCAGCTCATTTTTGTAATTTTTTAGTAGAGACGGGGTTTCACCATGTTGGCCAGGATGGTCTTGATCTCTTGACCTCGTGATCCACCCACCTTGGCCTCCCAAAGTGCTGGGATTACAGGCGTGAGCCACCATGCCTGGCCAACAGAGAACTTTCATTACAAACAAAACTGACAGCAGAAAGCCCCAACACTGCGCACGCACGTGGGGGAAGGCTTGCACTTACCTAGGAGGTCGGCCCCTTCATCCACATCCCCAATGACCTCAGACCCTGCCGTCGACAGTTCATGGTACAGGGAGTCAGTGTTGATGCCAAAAGCTTTGTTCACGATGCCCTGGGTTGGGCTGTTGGGATACACAGGTTGGGAGAGAGAGCAGAGTCAGTGGGCAGCCCGGAGCGGCTGCATGTGCAGACTCTTCCGACACCCCCCACCATAGCCAGTCAACGCTCACTCTGCAGTGCAGGCCAGGAGTGGACGGGAGGCGGTAGGTCTGACCGCCATGTTTCTCCCACTGGTGGCAGAGGGTGCCTTCACCAAAGTCACAGACTTAGATAAGTACTGACCCCTAGGACCCCAGGGCTGGGCTGAACCAGTACCTGCTTCCCGTGCGGTCCAGGCGGGTCTCCGGACACATGTCCAGCTCTGGAGTGGAGTCAATAATGTCCTGAACATCAGACCACTCGTCACTGCTGCCCATGCCTGGGGGAGAGCACAGTGGGACCTGGGGTCAGGAGAGGGCCTGGCAGCCTCTGTCCTGCTCACTGCTGCCCTCAGAACCTGAGTCTGGAGGCACAGCTGGACTACCCACCAGGTGGGGGTGATCAAAAAATGGCTCATCCCAGGCTGGCTGGGCAGAGGGTGAACTCCAGCACAGTGGGTGTCTGAGGTGAAGGACTGGAGTTGGGGGGGGTTGCAGCAGCCTCTCTGCATGGGATTGCTGGCAGCAAGCCCAATCCGCAAAGATCCCATGTCCAGGAAGGTCAGTGGCTGGACCTCCTTTAGGCCCTCAACCTTCTCCTCACTGGGCTGTGTGCCGTGGGTGACGTAGGCTACTGTCTTAGTTGTGCCTCCCCAAATCCGTGTGTAGATAGACACCCCCCAACACGACTATATTTGGAGGCTAGGCCTTTAGAGAGGTGATTATGGTAAAATGCATTCATGTGGTGGCTCTAATCCAGTGGGCTTGTGTCCTCATAGGAAGAGGGGAGGATTGCTGAGGATGCGGGGAGAAGGTGGAGTCTACAGGCTGAGCAGTGGCTGCAGGAGGAAATGGCCCTGCCTGCACCGTGATCTTGGACCCCAGCCTCTGGGACCTGAGGACCGTGTCTCTGCTGCCTGCACTGCACGCCTGGTATGTTTGTTACACAGCCCGATACAGCTGCATCTCCCCAAGCCAAGGCCTGCCTCCTCCGCCCCGGGGCTGAGCGCCCACCTATACTGACGTTGCGCATCTCCTGGGTGACCTGGACCTCCATGTTGCGGCTGTCACGCTTCTCCCGGGCATGCTTGCTGTTCTTGGGGCCCACGCCATAGTCCCCCAGGGGCTGCAGGCTCTCGTTGAGGGGTGTGGCGGCGGCTGAGGGTACAGAGGATGTGGGCGTGTTGGATTTGGTGCCTGTGGTGCTGGGTGTGGCGGCCGCTGAGGACTGGCCAGACTCGGACATCTGGTCCTGTGGACACTAGGGACAAACACAGGGAGGAGGGAGCGCCAGTCACTGTGGGTCTCTGGCCGGCGGCTCCGGCATGGCTGCCAGAGGCTCTCGCAGCAACACCTTGCACTTTGCCTTGTTCACCCTGCGAGCTGGAGCCCCTGTGCAGCCAGTCAGGCTAGCCCTGCCAGCCACACCACTCCGGAGTGGCTCTGCTCATCTGGCCGCCGTCTCTGGCTCCTTGGAAGCAGTGCCACCCTCCTGAAATGGCTTGGAACAAGGCTTTTCACGGGCGCCCTCCCGAGAACGGCTGCCTATAATGGGCCAGTGCCCTGCAGGGAATACAGTGGCAGCACCCCTGTGGCTTGTGGCTCAGAAACAAGTCTAGCCCAGGCAAGGCAGAGGGTTCTGACTCAGGAAGGGTTGGCTGGGCCACCACTGCTGCCCCGCACCATTGCTATGCTTAAGAGCTGGAGGCTGGGCCCACCTGTGCCCACCCCAGGTACCTCCGTGGGCTCAGGTCAGGGCTGGGGAGTGACCATATGGGGTTGACCCTGCGTTTTGACAGGACCAAGTTCAGCAATGAACACTAATGCAAGTGCAAAGAAACCGAAACCCTGTTCTCACAGAACAGGACGTCACCATGATATCCTCCAGGGTGGGGACGGCCCATATTATGAAAAACTGCAATCAGCTGTCTACTTGGGAAGCTCGTTAAAGAGAGCCACATTCTATGTGACTAATAAGCAAGGCGAAACAAACATTCCTTCCAACGGTCTTTCCTAACAAAGACATTGGACTGGCCCAAGAAAAACAGCATGGAACGCCCTCCTCTCACCCGCCATGATCACCTCCCAGGACGGAGAAGAGGCCCGAACGCTCTCCTCTCACCCACCATGATCACCTCCCACGACGGAGAGAGGCCCGAACGCTCTCCTCTCACCCACCATGATCACCTCCCATGACGGAGAGA